AAGGCATCTGCTCGCCCCTCTGCCTTAGGCGGGGTTAGCCCCCCGTTCTCTGCAGAGCTCTGTCCTTTCGTCTGAGTTTCTGGAACCGTGGTGCTGGAGTCGGCGGGTGTGCCTCCGGGCAGACTCGGGGAGGCCGAGACTGGGCAGATGGTTTAGCTTTGGGGCAGCCGCTGCTTTGCCCACATTCCCTCGGGTGCCCTGGGACGGGGAACCGCTGGCGCCTCCCAGGCGGAGGTTTTGATCTGTGTGCTCTGTGCTCTCTAAACTCGTGTCGGTGGCAGGACACACCTGGGGAGGTCTTGCTGTGCTTTGGGACACCCAGATGGGAATGAGGTTCCAGGTGGCCTGCAAGGGGCATCTGAGCCCCGCCCCACCCACCTGCAGACTGCTCCCTGCTTGGCTACTGTGGCAGGAGTCACATCTGGGAGTTCGAGAGTGCCGAGGCCTGGTTCACGGTGGATGCCACCTCGTATTTGGATTTGAGACCCAGCAGAGCTGGGGGGATGGGTCTTGGCGGGGGACTCGAGCTGGTGACGGGCTTTCGTCCTGCCTTAACCCAAGCACAGAGTGCTAGTGTGGCGCCACACAAGGGACTCAGGCATCCTCTGTCCACGCACCTGGATGGAGCTTCCGGTGCATTAAGTTAAGCTAATTTTTCAGTCGCTTCCTGGCCTATGAGAACATTTTTATTAGTACTTTGTGGAACATGGATCCGTTCTTCGCATACGTCGTTTTCTTTGGAAACCCTTAAAGGTTGGTTCTTCCTTTGAGTTAGGAAGCGAATTACCCTGTCCAGGTGTGGCACCGTATCCTTGTTCCTGTACCGGATAAAAACTGACCGAGTTAAAGCGCTGAGGAGCAAGCAGGAAAAGTGGGCATTTTACATGCAGCACTTTAGAAAGTGACTCGAAATACTTGCTGAATTGTCAGTCTGGGTGTTAAAGTCACTGTTACATTTCCATAAGCATTTGAAACCAAAATGGGGAGTTTTAAAAAAAATCGTGATCAAATACATGTAACATAAAATTTTTGCCATTGGTGACATTTAGTATATTCACAGTGTTGGTTTGGACAACCCAAGGCATTTTTTTGCTTGGACAACACTTTTGTCATAAGACGTAGTGGAACAGGGACATATTTCTAATGAATGAAGTAAGTGCACACGTGACTTCATTTTCCAGAAAATTTTCTTACTTGAGCTGAAGCCATAGGTGTTTCCTGCTGTGTTTCTGAAGCCATTTGACGGCGGCGTTAGAACGATAATACCGCGTTTCTCTGTTCCCGTCGTGTCATTCAGACGCAGGGATCACGAGGCCACTTGATGGTAGGGCTCCCTGCCCTCCCTGTGCTGTGTCGGGGTTTTGGTATTTTGGCCAAAGCACGTGTCCGTTGGCCTCTGAGGTCCCTGAAACCCTCCGCGCTGTCGTTCCAGATGTGGAAAGCGTCTGCAGGCCACGCCGTGTCCATCACCCAGGATGACGGGGGAGCCGACGACTGGGAGACAGACCCCGATTTTGTGGTATGACTCACCTGCCGTCCTGTGTTCTTCCAGATGAGCGACTTCCCGAGGATTCTGTTTGGCCCTCGGCGCGTTTGTCCCACGGGGCTGTGGGGTTGACTCGTCTCTTATTTTTCCTTCCAGAATGACGTGAGTGAAAAAGAACAGAGATGGGGGGCCAAAACCGTGCAGGGGTCCGGGCACCAGGAGCACATCAAGTAAGAGACTTCTCCTGTGATGGTGTGAACTGGCGGTGCGAAGCCCGGAGAGGGGCGCTTACGTCTCCAGCTCGGCCGTGGGATGCTCGCGGGTGTCAGGGTGGCTTTGTCGTACGCCTGATGTGAGATGGGATGTGTGTGTGTGTGTGTGCGTGCGTGCGCGCGCTACATGTGTATGCACACGCGTGATTCTGGAGTTCAGTATTAGACGTGTGTGTAGACATCGAATAATTTGGGAGACCGGTATTAGCCGTGTGTGTGCGTGTGTGTACGTACGTGCGCGTGTATACACTTTAAATTGTAGAGAGTCTACTTTTCAGGGCTGCGGTTCCCGTGCCGATGACACCGCCTAAGCTCTTTCTACGATCGGACTCCCCCCCCCACCCCCAGGAGAGGTCACTGAGTGCCTAGGACCTTAGACGCCCCCCCTGATTTTTGTTATTTTATTATAATTTTATTGTTCTGCCATTGCCCTTTGGGTACTGTGAGCTGAATTCTCAGAACCGTGTTCTCAGGAGGCGCCCTCAGCGTGTCCCTGTCCCTGACTCAGCACTGTGGGGTAGCTCGTGTGCTCGTTGGGAGCGGACGCAAAGGGAGCTTCTTAAACGTGCCCAGACTTTTCCTTTCCGCTGCACTGCGTCGCGGGTGCTGCCTCTCATTCCCTAATCTCGAGGGCGCCATCACCGACCAGGTGACCTGCTCTGGTCATTTGTGGAGAACTCGTGTCGCTGGCCCCAGTAGCTGTGCAGTAGGATGAGGCTGTTCTTGTCTGAGAGAGACTCAGCGAGTCATGCAGAGGGAGAGGGACGTGTGCGTGTGGCCATCTCAGACACCAGTATTCGTCCCCCACCCCCCGCGCCCCGATGTGCTGCGCCCACACCCTGCACAGAAGCCACTAGAGCGCGTGAAGGGCCCGGGGCCGCCGCGTGAAGGGCCGTGGGGTCGGGCTGACAGCCACGTCGTCGGTTAAGTCAGCGGTCGTGTCCTTCCTCCTGTTCCCCAGGGCATGGGACCAGGTCGGAGAGGGCGGGTGGCAGAGCAGACGCAATCCCTGGTCCCGGCGGCCTCCGGCCGGGATTCAGAGAGAGCACCGGGAGGGGGGCAGCGCTCGGCCCCCTGGGGTCCCACCGGGATTTTAGGGGCGCTCCTCACCCGCTCATGGGGCTCGGGCAGTGCCCAAGCCTGCCTTCGTTTTTAGCTACACTCCTGGGATCGTTGTCTAGACGTTGCAGGTGTTGACGTCGTGTCCCCTGGGCAGGATGGCCCCCCACGCAAGGTGGCTCCGAGCCCCTCCAGCGTCTCCTGCCTGTGTTTGACCACGTCTTCTGATCTGTTTCATTGTTGCGGGTGTTTAGAGTTAAAAAAAGGCTTTTAGATCGTAGATCCTGAAAGCCTTTGATTGCCTCATACGCAGACAGCTGGAGTAGTTCAGGTACAAAGAGAAGCTGTCTGAAGGTTTCGGCCAGTGTCCTAGGGACACCTGGGGACGGGATGTCTGACTACTTTTGCCTCTGCCTCGGGTGACATTTAAAGAACTGGCTTTCTTAACTGTTATCTAATAAAATCGAGACGCTTTTCTCCATGTGAAATAAATAAGGGGTTCACGTTTCAGGGCAGCTTCCTTTGGAGGTTCACTGTGTGGATCCAGATTGACTTGCATTTGACTCTTGAGAGCTGCAGGAGCAGGCGGGCCAGCTGGCAGAACCGTAAAGACGACGTGGAAGGCGGGGTCCGGGGGCCCCAAACGACGGAGGCTTGCGAATGTGCAGGGATGGCGCTCCCTGGCCTCTTTTGCCCCCGAGGAGGGGGCGCATGTCTGTTTTACCTCTCTGTCCTATTTCGTCTCTCCCCCGCCAGCATCCACAAGCTGAGGGAGAATGTTTTTCAAGAACACCAGACGCTCAAAGAGAAGGAGCTGGAAACAGGACCCAAGGCCTCGCACGGCTATGGAGGGAAGTTCGGCGTGGAACAGGACAGAATGGACAAAGTAAGTGGCTGGCGGCTGTCGCGCCGAGTGCCTGGTTTGCTTTGACCTCTCATGTGGTTGGCAGAGGAGCCGATCACTCAAACCGGTGCCTCCGAATGAGATTTTTTTTTTTTTTAACTCCTATAGCACCTGGTCTTCCTAGGTGGTCTCCCATCCAGGTACTAACCAGGCCCGACCCTGCTTAGCTTCTGAGATCAGACGGGATCAGGCGTGTTCAGGGTGGCATGGCCGTAGACTCCTCAGAATAAGTTTCGAGTCAATTTGTTGAGCTTGAGTTTGCCAGAAGTGGCCCTCTGTTGATCGACCTCACATATAAAGTGTTCCCTCCTTTTGGAGGCACTTTTAAGAGTTCAGAGGTGCTGGGTGGGGAGTGGGCAATGTGCAGAAGGCTCGGAGGGGAGGTCAGCTCCCAGAGGCCAGGACAGAAGTCCAGAAGCGCCTTGACTGCAGGTGTTGGTGTCACCACCGCCCGAAGTCCCATGTGTGGCCTAAATCGCGCCAGTCCACACACCAAACCACAGGTGAAAATGCAGCCAGCAGGCGTGCCGGCTTCGTGTGTCTAGTGACCTTCAGGGAGTGGCCTGGCCCTCGGCGTAAAGTCACTGCCCAGTAGGTGGGCGGAGAGCTGTGGGATGGCCACGTCCCAGTCCACGGTCACGTCAGCGCTGACTGCACGATTGACAGCAGGATTGACAGCACGGGGCGTGGGTTGGTCAGAAGGGCTGGTCCCTCCCCGCCGCCAGCCCTCTGGAGAGGAGACAGTGCATCGTCATGGCTCGTGGCTTTGCTTCTCCAGCTAGGCAGCTGTTTGAATTCCACGCATGGCCGTGGACCCCCAGTCTGAGCGGTGTGGGGTGGTTCTCACCCTGCACGGTCTGCCCTCCGTCAGTGTAGGAGAAATGTCAGCAGGTGTCGTTCTGGTCTGTAATTCCACACCTCTCCCCTCGTGTACGGATGGGAGTCAGTGTCTGGGCCGTGTCACAGTGCGCCGTGCCACACCTTGTCACCACAGAGTAGATAAGTGGGGAGCCTCTGGGCACCCCAAACCACATCCTGAATTAGCCCGGAGCTGGATGAAGAACGAGCTGCAGGAAAGAGACAGGGACGTTCTGCGGTGTGACTGTCACTCCCGGAGACGTCTCAACACAGCAACAGGGAAGGCGGGGGTGGAACCATCTTTGGAGTCTAAAGAAAAGTCTAGTAGCTTTTAGTGGTGCAGACAGACAGACAGACGAGACAGACAGCACCCCGTGGTTAGGTGGGAGGGGACCGAGGCGTGGAAGCCTTTCCCACCCCAGCAGAGCCTGCGCTCACGGGACCGGGGGAGCTGGGCGCAGAGAAACCGATGAGGAGTTGCGATTGGAAAGATGACACGTTGGGGAAAACAGTGAGAATCTATCAAGGAGGAGCGTGAGAGCAGCAGCCACCTGCTGTCTGTCATTTCTGGCTCCTCTGCTGCTGCTGGGACCCTGTCCCTGCTGGCACCTCGGCTCAGGCCTGTCTCGTCCAAGCAGCTTCTCTGGTGAGCCTGCCCCGCGAGACTGGTCGCATCTCCCTGCCCTTCTGCCACCCTCGTTTCCCTCTGTCGGTGCTGCTGCCACATCGTGCTGTCCTCTCTGTGGAGGCTCTTCGGGGCCCACACCCATCGCCCTCCCCACGTGCCTGGCCTGGCACCGTGGTGGCGGCACATGGATGTCTCGTGGATGCCCGGGGTCTCCTCCTCTGGCCCACGCGGCAGAGACACCTGGACGGCTCAGGGAAATGCACTCTCACCCCAGTGGGCATGGCCAGGTGGCCGTCCCCACAGGTGAATCTGGCAGGGGCGCTGCTGCAGGCCTGCGGTGGCCCGCTGTGTCTCTGCGCACTTAGGGAGGTTAGATGTCAGCTCATGTGAGCACGATCGAACCCACCCGTTGTCAGAAATTACTAAGATTCAAACCCAAACTTAAGTGGCTTAAGTTATTTTGTAACTCGTTCTCTCCAGAAATTGAAAAAAAACTCTGAGAACTCTGCTGAGCACCGAGGGCTGTGTGGTGGCGACGTGTGGGATGAGCCGGGCTCGGGCGAGCGCGCGTTTGCGAGGGCCAGGGGCGCAGCCATGCCGGGCCGTCCACACTGGTCTGGGCACGGGGCAGGCTCCACCCGCGTCGCGCCCCGTCCCGGCCAGAGCACGTCCAGAGCAGCCCCCAGGGCCTAGCGTCCGGGAGCAGACGGCGTTTCCAGCAATTTGGGATCATCTATTTCAGTGAAGAAGTTGGAGAAATTGCCAGGCTGTTGCTCTGGCCATGTTTTTAGAACCGTTTTCTTACAAGCTCTCTCGGACCGAGAGTCATGCTGGGAGTCCCTTTGGCACCCTGCCTCTCGGTGTCGCTCGTCGGTGTTTTTGTGCGTGAGATCCCAGAGGCCGCGGGGGCTGGTCTCCCACAGCCGTTCTCGGAGGCCGTGGGTCCCGTGCGTGGCGGTCGGCTGTGGACAGCGGAGCAGGCCTGGGAGAGAGGGTAGCGCAGGTCTGAAGTTTAAGTGACACCTGCCTTTTCCCTGGGACGTGGAAAGGACGGACGCTGAGCCGCGTGCTGACTTCAGTGGCGGTGCTGACCCCGCCTTGACCCTGAGCCTGGTTTTGTGAAGTTCCAGATAAACGGGACTCTGACAGGCCCCTTCTGTGGGGGCAGCTGTGGCGAGGCAGTTCCTAGGCCGTGGGGACTCGCTGGGGCGAGAATACGAGTGTGGATGTGCCTTCTCCGCGCCCCGCACTGGTCACGTGTCTGTCACGTGACCACTCCTTACCCGAGGGATCTGTGACCACTGTCCACTCTGACTCGGGGGCCGGTGGGGGCCTGTGCTGTGGGCAGGGCGGGGCCGCTGAGTTTGGGTCACAATATTTTTAGCTGTGTGGGCCCTGGGGTCTCTGAGTCTACCGCTGACCACGACAGTTGGATCCTAGAAGCCGCCACATGCGACATGGGAATGGTACATGTGGTGGGTCCCACAGAGATTTCCCCACAGGGTGGGGCCACGGGTGTGACCCACAGGTGTGGCAAGTGGAAAGCCCGGAGTTTGCTGCTCGGTAGACGTGTGACCTCGAGCAGAAGGTGGCTGAACCTGCTTCCTTCTCTGCCAGTGGGGTTGACGAGGTTGGTGACGCTGGAATGAGCCGATGCGGTGACAGGTGTGCTCCACGCCTGGGAGGGGCGCACGCTCGGTAGACGCTGACTCAGTGTGTGAGAACTCAGCACCTGTGTCTGCGTCTCGTTCTTCAGCAGAGTCAGTACGTTTGGTTGTGGTTCCTGGTCATGTGGCGTGGAGGCGCCTCCCCTCGGCAGCCGAGCTGTTGCCGGGAGCGCCCTGCAGACGGGCCTCGGGTGTCGGGCTGCAGGCCGTGGGCTCCGTGGTTCTGGACGGGCATCGGCCCCCTGGTTCATGCCTCACACCCCGCCACGTCAGAGCCACACCTGGCCAGGGTACTCCGGCGGCTTCTGGGAGCGCGTGGCTGAAGGAGCAAGGTGACGCCTGTGCCGGGCTGTGGCACGGTGGGTCCCTGGGAGCAGAACTCCAGCCCGACTTCCACGCGAGGGCGTTTGAGGGGTGCCCACGCTGACAGCAGGTGGCGCTGCCCCCCTGGGCCTGCACCAGTGGCATTGGCCGGCGTCTCACACCTTGTTTTGTGTCCTGTCTCAGTCGGCTGTCGGCCATGAGTACCAGGCGACGCTTTCCAAGCACTGCTCCCAGGTGGACTCCGTCCGGGGCTTCGGAGGCAAGTTTGGCGTCCAGCTGGACAGGGTTGACCAGGTGAGTGACGCAGTGTGAGGAGCCAGGGCTGAGGAGGGTCAGGGGCGACTCTACAGCCCAGAGCCAGCTGCCCTTGGCGTGTCCCTCTGGGCCTCTGGAGGGAGCATGGTGCTCCTGACGGTGGGCCTGCGCGGCCTCACAGCTCGCAACGCGGCCCGGTCTCTGACTGTGACGGTCACCTGCGGTTAGTGTCGCAGCAGTGGGGCCTGGGATTTGCAGTTAGACGTCAGCCCGCAGTCTGGCCCGGCCCCCCGTTTGCCACGGCTCCGTACTTACTGCCCATAAAGCGGGGTGACGGTGCCTGTGTCCCGTAGCTGTGCTTGAGGACGCCCACGGGCTCCGTTCTCACTCCCCATGTTGGCGTCGCCCTAACATCGTGGCAGACCCCATCTGAAAAGCACGTGTGTGCACGGCCATGGGGAGTCGTCCCCGAGTGAGATGTGGCTGAAATCCCTGGGCGGGGAGGCTGGGCCACCAGAGACGCAGCCTGGCCCGGGCAGCCCTCCGGGCTTTGTCGCACCTGTGGGGCATACAGATGCCACACGCCAGTGCTTTTGGCTTGAGTTAGCCCTGCACCTGGCTTAGCGAGTCAGAGTTAGAAAAATAACGTGGCCGTGGTTTTCAGCGTGTCGCGTGTTTCAGAGGCGCGTGCAACACTTCTCCCTTTTTCTCGCCGCTGCAGTCTGCCGTGGGCTTTGAATACCAGGGGAAAACCGAGAAGCACGCCTCCCAGAAAGGTGAGACGAGGGGCCGCCGTGTTGCGCAGCCCGCTGGGCTGTCGTGGGAGGACGCAGTCACCTGAGGCCTGGGCATGGGCGGCTGCCACCAAGGGAGGACTTCGCTCTCCCCTTTAAGTGTCGGAGTCACCTGGATTGTGTGACAGTGCGGTCCCCGTCACTCAGCACACGAGGCCCGGCATCTGCTCTCGTCGTGACGTCTCCCACGTCGGTACTTCGCCCGACAGCAGTGGCCCCGCGGACGTTCGCTCTGACTGCAGGCAGAGCGCGCCCCCCGCCCCCAGCGGGAGAGCGGAGCTGTTAGGAGGTCCCTGAGGTCCTCGCCACGCGGGGACCCTGACATGGCGCTGGCGGTCTCACGAGGTCCCACCGGCCTCCTTAAGCCTGTCGCTTCCTCCGAGCACTTGAGGTGTTTTGCCGCCTCTTCCCTTCTGCCTCGTGCGTGTCATCGGGTGACCGGGGGACGCGTGCTCGGATCGCGGGCACTCAGCCACCGCGTGCGTGGGAGGGCTGGGGGCTTTTCTGGAAAGGGCTCCCGCGGCCCAGCTTCCTCCCACGCTGCTCTGCGTCCCAGTGGTGACGTTCCCCGGCGGGGCCGCAGCTCCGTCCTCGTTGTGCCCTCTAATGGTTGAAAGGGACGCAACTGCTGGGGTCCAGCGTCACCCGTGTGTGACGGCGGGTGGCTCTGGTGTGTTTTAACGTATGTGCTTGGCCTGGCGGCAGTCGCACCCCGACCGTTTCTCCACGGCGGCGGCGTGTCCTCGGCCCCTCACCGCGGCCGCCCTGTCTCCGCAGACTACTCCAGCGGCTTCGGCGGCAAGTTCGGCGTGCAGGCCGACCGCGTGGACAGGAGCGCCGTGGGCTTCGACTACCAGGGCAAGACGGAGAAGCACGAGTCGCAGAAAGGTCTGTCCGTCCGCGGGGCCCCGCTCGCCGCGGGGTGCCCCCCCTCTGCGAGTCACGCATCCCCAGAGTAAGCTCCGGGGCCTCCTCTGGTCACGTTGGGCCGCCTCGCGCTTAATCGCTCGGTGTCTTTAGCACGCGAGGTTTGGACGCTCTTGATCTTCTCAGGTCGTGGGTGTGTGTGTGTCGCATTTTTAGTGACAGCTCATTCCTCCGCTGTGTGACGAGTCTAATCTATCTAACCATCCCTCTAGAATGTAGATTGTAGGGTATTTCCAGTTTTTTGATGTAGTTTCAAGTGTGGGGAATATTCTAGTGCTCGTATCTTATGGACTTAAGCGAATATTCACACGAATACGTTCCTAGAAATGGCATTGCCGGCTCAAAGGACGGTGGATCCAAAATTTCGATAGTGCCGAATCGTCCCTGGAACTTGGCTGGTGCTTCCCTTCCCCGTGGCGGCCTCGTCAGGGGCGCATTGCGAACCGTGTCCCGAGGGCGTCTGAGGCCACGTTTGCGCTGCTTCTGCAGCGTGCGTTCCGTCGGCCTGTGCATTTAAATTTTCAAAAGTAATTGTCGATGTTTAAAAATTGAAAGCTCAAATTAAAAAAACCCAGATTTCTTTTAAAAACAGAAACAAACCGGCACTGGAAACACACCTC